AGGGGGGTTTTCCCTCAGAAACATTGACCATTTCAAGGTGCTATTTGATGATGCCTGAGCACTTTAAAAGTGTCTGATATAAAACATGAGATTCATGTTTTTTCAATTGTTTTGTGGGGGATGTGATGGGTGACCAACATTCCTAGAAAAGTTTACAATTTTAAGATGATATTTGGTGCTTTCTGTTCATTTTTAAAATGTTTGAGTCAATAAAAGAAATGAACATCAATCACAATTTTTCAAATTGTGGGGGTGCCAAAGGGGTGGGCAGTTGCCAAAGGGATAGGTAGGGTTGGGGTGCCAAAGGGGAGCAATTGTTTGTCCCCCATATCCGTCCCCCAGAAACACTGACCATATAAAGGTGTTATTTGATGAAGTCTGGGCACCTGAAATGTGTCTGAGACAATACATGAAATAAATTCAGAATTTTTGTCAATTCTTTTGTGGGGAATGTGAGGGGTTGCCTACTTCCTTAGAAAATTTTATAATTTTAAGATGCTATTTGGTTCTTTCTGGGCACTTTTAAAGTAAATGAGTCAATAGAAAAAATTAAATCATAATTCTTTTTTTGGGGGGAGGCGAAGGGGAGCTGGGGTGAGGATGCCAGAGGGGGGGGCAAGTGTTAGTCCCCCAGAAACATTGATTATATCAAGGAGCCCACTCCCCCTAGAAAATTTTACAATTTTAAGATGCTATTTGGTGCTTTCTGGACACTTTAAAAGTTTATGAGTCAATAAAAAAGATTAGAAAAAATCATATTTTTTCAATTTTTTGTTTTGTTTGGGGGGGGTGTCAAAGGAGGGATCCCCGAGGGGGAGGTGGGGTGAGGATGCCAGAGGGGGAGCAAGTGTTAGTCCCTAAGAAACATTGACTATATCAAGGAGCTATTTGATGAAGTCTGGGCACTTTAAAAGTGTCTGAGACAATACATAATATATTCAGAACTTTTCAATTGTTTGTGTGGGGGTCGTGAGGGGTGGCCCACTCCCCCTAGAAAATTTTACAATTTTAAGATGCCATTTGGTGCTTTCTTGGCACTCAAAGTGTATAAGTGAATGGAGAAAAAATTAGAAAGAAAAATATTTTTCAAAAAAAAATTCCCCAATTTTTTTGGGGTTGTCAGAGGGGGTGCGTCGCACCCCCCCCCCCATCTGATGGCCATGGTTATTCTTGTATATTTTAACAATATCTTATTCATTAACCCTGAAAACACAAGTTTAGACAAATTAATTATGCTGCTTTCATTTTCACATTTCAAGATATAGAAAACAATCAATATTTCAATAATGGCCTCACTAATTAGCCTATATTATTTTTTCCCCAAACTAACTTTTTGTCCAACCCGGCTAAATCTCTTCAGGAAACCCTTATCGTCATAAATTAACCAAAAAACATCGTGTTTTTAACAATTCATAGGTTCACTATAGGATGCATAGGAGTGACAAATGGACTAAAATATGCATGTATGAAATATACTACAAATACAGAAATGGATGTACGAAATATTGCTTCAACACAGCTATGCACATACGAAATTATAATTGAACACAGATATGCATGTACGAAATTATGCTTCAATACTGATATGCATATACGAAATTATACTTCAACACAGATATGCATGTACAAAATTATACTTCAGCACAGATTATGCATGTACAAAATTATGCTTCAATACAGATATGCATGTACAAAATTATACTTAATAAAGATATGCATGTTCAAAATTATACTTTAATACAGATATGCATGTATGAAATTATACTTCAATTACAGAAATACATGTACGAATTCTTACTTTAACACAAATATGCATATACAAAATCATGCATCGATACAGATACGCATGAGCAAAATCAAGTCATGCATTATCACTCACTGTCTTACTCTTTACTCACAATAATGTGACATGTTAGTCTCGCGATGTTAGTCAACTTATTTCTCGGTTGTAACATGAACTTCACGAAATGTTTTTTCATAATATTTTCTGTCTCTTCTTTTCATGTATTTCATCATTGACCTAATGTCTTTCATCTTTTGTTGAGACACTGATGGTGACTTTGACAGATTTGGTACTTCAGCACTTAATATTTCTGAATACTTCTTCCTGTACGGCATTGACTTCTTCCTGTACGGCATTGACTTCTTACGTCTCTTTGCCTTCTCATAATTTAAGTCTACTTCCTGTGCATCTTTGTAAACCCCAGTTTTATATTTAACTTTGCTCTCATTCCGGTCATACTGTATGCTTTTTACCTGAAAAAAGGGGACTGTACCTTCTAATGGGAGTTTTTTAGACAGAGAAGCGAAATCATACACATTCTTATCTATTTCTATGACCTCAAAATCATTTACATCATTGAGCAATGATACCACTTGTCTAGGAGTAAAATATTCCTTTGTTTTAAAATGTTTTTCAATTTGGCTGTGTATGTTATCTACATTTTGTAGTATGCTATGCATGGGCTCGCCATACTTTTGTATGATGTGCTCTATATTATTATCTGAGTTGACAAATTGCAACAAAGCAATGGCCATTATTTTGTTGCAGTTTTGTGGCACACAAGAGTCGCTCCACAGAATAAGTTTATGAACTGCATCTGGCAACTTTAAATGGTTTAATGTAGCAACAATAGCACTAGCTATTTCGTTCCCTCCCCGACCAGCCTGTAGTTCATTCCACACAGCGCATACCACTTTCTTGGTAAGGATACCATCAGTATCAGAATATAATGCTACACTTGTGAGATTATATATTGATAATTTCCGTTTATAGTAGAATTCATTTATTTCAGCCTTAGGACATGAAATGACATTTTCCAGGTCAAATTCAACAACTGCAGTATCTTTTGGTGGGCTTCTGTCTATGTCCCTTTCTTTCTTTGTATCATCTTTTCTTTTGACATGATTTTTGTAGTTAGTTAGAATTTCATCTTGAAGTTGATCTTCGTCCTCAGTAGTACGATTCAACTCACATGTGTTACATCTATCTTTTTTTGGTTTATTGGCCGATATGTTAAATTCATAGTTGTAAATATGCCGATACATGCTTACTTTCAATGGCCCAGGCAAACCGGTTTCCTCGACATGTTTCACATATAATTTGTACATCTTATTTACATTTAAACTGCTGTCAATATACTCAACTTGGCTATTTGCACGACAGTAGTGAGAAATTACACGAGGGAATGAATTAATGTGGTCACGAATGACTTGCTTGGCTGGCTCAAAATGTTTTGATTTGGGACCATGGCCTCTTTTAAGATGCACTGACGAGCCATGGGGTAATTTTTTATGCTTCAAAGCATAGAGAACACGGTGGCCTTCGATATCTAGAGTGCTCTCATAAAAAGTTCTACACACTCTAATAGTATTGGAACCCAATGTGAATGTGTAACGGTAACTATACTTTCTACGAGATGTTCCATCTCTCGTTGTTTCCCTATTTTTTGTCATTTTTTTTACAGTTTTGATATAGTATGAAATTTTTTGATCATCAGAAAGTTTCCAGAAGTCTTTATGTAGACTTTGCCTGTCACTTGCACTTATATATTTTGAACAACAAAATTTACAGTTAGCACAGTTCTTTACTGTCCGCACAGCCTTAGCTTCTCTACGTCTGCCTCTGGAGTCGACATATTCTTCCCCTGACTGGCGTAGTCTCTTTCTTATATTCTTCTTCCACTGCATCTTATCTGCTTTTCTCTTCTTGCTAATTTCTAGAAATAAGAAACTGACGTGTAGATGAAGAATCACATTAAAATGAAGTCAATCAATATGCTGGTCAGTAGCAAGTTCAATCATTGGAGATAAAACTTAATCAGATAAGCAATGATCCCTATGAAAGCATTTTAATCATGTAACTTAGTTGATAATGTTTACACAAAACAAAATTTACACATCTTACTTGGTGCAGCTTTAGACTTATGTTTCTCTGTTGTATCTATGTCTGTTGTCTCAGGTGGATAAGTCTCAGCTTCAGATTGTTGGTTCTCTGTTGTATCTATGTCTGTTGTCTCAGGTGGATTAGTCTCAGCTTCAGATTGTTGGTTTTCTGCTGTATCTATGTCTCTTGTCTCAGGTGGATTAGTCTCAGCTTCAGACTGTTGTTTCTCTGTTGTATCCATGACTGTTGTCTCGGGTGGGTTAGTCTCAGCTTCAGATTGTTGGTTCTCTATTGTATCCATGACTGTTGTCTCAGGTGGATTAGTATCTGAAAACAAACACAATGTGTGTAAAAATGGATGTGTAGAATAATACAAACCTGCTATCAATACTTGGTGTGCCATTGGGTCATTCTTGATTGTACCAGGGAATTTACTCTTAAATGTACTAGATGAATTCTGATCTAAAATAGTCAAAATGAAATGAAATTGCTTTACATAGTGATTGTCTAATTAATTAATAGAAAATTGTTACAGTTAAGATAAGATAAAACAATGAAACTAACCTCTTGTTGTATATGATTGAACTTTTTCTTCTTCATAAACATCTGTTGGGATGTCTAGATCTGGATCCAATAAGAGCCTTAAATAACCAATCCAGTTGTTGTTTGTATCCATCTTTTGACTTGTGCAAAATGGATTATTAGAATTCTTCAGTATTTTGTATTCATATCCATAATTCATATGGAATAAACAGATAGCTATGCTGATATTACCTTGTGTCAATTGAAGCAAATTAAACTATTTCTCTTATTATCTTCTTTCTAATCAATCTCAAATCACAGTCAACATAATGAGTCTTTAGAGCTCTTGTTTCTAAATCACTCACTGTCACATTTAAGGAGACACTTAGTCTACTGACTGGTCTCATTTCCAAGAGTTGTACAACTTGACTGAATGTAAGTTCAATGCTTTCATCAAGATAAAGAGCTTCTAATTTGTGAAGGTTGTTTACAATGTCCAGCAATGTTTCAAAGTGAAATTGTTGTACAGAATTACAGATTTGCAGTAATCTCAGATCTGTACATTCGATATCTTCATCAACTAAGTTTGGACAAAAGTTTAGTTCCACGGTTTCTAGGGTGTTTTTCACACTTTCAATGAATGCTAGAGTTGATACTGGCCAACCTGACAAAGACAGATACTGTAACTTTTTAGCTTCTAATAACTGTACAGTTAGAGCAAAATCAATATGGGCAGGTGGGATGTGTAATATTGGATAGCTGATTGCAAATACTTCTATGCATCTTGCATGTTTCAATATTGTATGTAAGTTGTCTTTGTTAATAGTGAGCTGATCATCAGATGCAACTGTTTTCCACAGCACAGAGTTGTTGTTGATTATGTCACTAAACCTGGGATGAAGAAAGGCAAACGATCTAATAAGTTCTATCACATTGAAGAACTGGAATATGTTCAACAGAACATTATCCGGAAGATCTACTATATTCTGAAAATAAGATAAAAAAGTAGATATTCTGTATATTTCTATGGGACAAGGGCCATGTGCAATAATGTACTTTCTGCCAATTTTTCCTAACTACTTTAAACTACACAGTTCTTGGTACAACTAGGCTATACATATTAAGTTATGATTACATAAAATTTGGATTTTCTTTAAAATTCATGAAATATTTGCAAAGGATACAACTCAAGGGGTAAATAAATTGCAATGATGATCAAAATTATTACTTACCACTGGCATTTAGTTGGTTGGATAAGCATTGACTATTTTCACTTTTCTGCTGAATTACACTTTCTTAAGATAGATGATTGGTTTAAACATTGAGTCACATGTTAAGTTTACTGGCATCCAATTGGATAATTCACTTAGGAAAATCAAGAACTGATGCCTTTGTATTTAGGAAATGAATTATGTAGTTAGGATGTTGTTACCTAAAAAAGCATGCATTTCTAGCACAGATAGGTCAAAACTGACATCACCATGAGATTCTACGCACTTTGTTTACCTACAATGTAATGTTACCTTAATTTTTTGGAAAATGTTAGTTAGGAGACTGTTGAACTCATGTGACGATATCCCCATCATCCATTGAACTTGTCCCATGTAAATATGGTTGGTAATAAGTTTGAGCTCACCACATTAATCTTTCTTCATGTAGGTTGGTGGTTGAGTATTGGTATAAAATACAAGTCGAAATAGCATACACAACTTATAATAATATGGTAAGCGTGGTAAAAAATGATGCAATGACTAGTCTTTTATTGTTTGCATTAATGATCAAGCAAACACAAAATAATCAATGTGAAGAAATAATAGGAAAAGTGCAAGCTAACCCTCTCCCTTAGTGCAACAGGTAAAGTTTAGGTGAGGATGCAGGCAAAGGTTCACACAAAATCAAACATGAATACAACGAATGTGATTAAGATTAATGATTTTATTATAGACATAAATATTGTGAATATATGATCATGCAATATATTATAAATATGGAAGATTATATAGATTATAAGTGATAATTAAATATGTGTATATGTCAACATGAATTAGAAATACAGAGAAATGCTTGGAGTAGATATGTGATAGTTTAAAACTATCTCGATCTATAATTCATGAATATAAATTCAGAATCTTAACACAAATGCATACCATGTAAAATGCAATCTAAGAACGGATTTGTTTTATAACTTCAAAAAATGAATTATCTGTTACTTGGTATTGAAACAGTTAACCTAGAAAGCGTATGAATTAATTGTGTTGATAAATTGTCTTCGCACAAAGTTCAGACGTACAGACGCCAATGAATTCAACCTTTGACCCCAAATTGTTTCCAGAAAAGAATGTGTAAAAATATGTTAAGAAATTGTCTTAATATTCGATCTCTCTTTAAATTGTACTATGAAATTTCTAATGATTCAATATATCAGTAAGAATATCGGCAAATTAATAAACGGATGTGTTGGTAAACATTAGGTCACGTGATATCAACGAAAGCCGTCTGCTTTTATAAATGGCGCTAAAATATTCGATTCGTCACTCAAACTTGATATAATCAGTCATCCCGCTATGGGCCTTTATATTTCGTGTGAAAGTATATTCGCAATTCATAGACTTCTAAAACCAAGATAGTTGATACGACAATGTCGATACAATGTCATCAAAACAATCAAAAAATGTCAAATGTGTTTTTCCGAAGTTTCAAACTCCTCTATCAGTTCAATTTGTTCAGTAATCTAGCTATAATCTCTATATAGATTCTTTCTGGATCTAGTATTCAATCTATACCTATTTAAAACATTAATGAAGCTCAAATGTTAGCTACTGTCATTGCTATTGCTTGAGATCTATTACAGATTTCTCAAAACAACCTCGCTTTAAATAGGGAATTTCTTTGGGGGATTTCCCAAATGATCATATTCTAAATTTAGTAGATTTGTCAATAAATATGAAACGTCTGCATCTTTCTCCCCAACGTTTACCAACATAGTTCATAGATCACGATTCAGGGTTCATTAATAGATGACTCAAAGGTATTCATAGAAGCATAATATTTGGAAGTAATCGAAGGTAAGTGAAAATATAGTTATTTTGATTTGACTTCCGGGTTATCTGAGATGACGGAATATTACAACTGCCCCCCTCAAAGAAAATATTTTGCCCTCAAAATACTAATAATGAGAATAAGATTATAAATAATTCAATCCCATACAATACATAGTCTAAAGAATACAATACAATACATCCATTATACAATACAAATTTAAAAGATACAATACAATGCAATCTGGTAGTACAATACAATTATGGAAAATACAATACAATACAATTCAATAATATACAATACATTACACTACAATAACAATATACAATACAAACACGTTATATACAATACAATACAACATAAAAGTTCTGTAAAGATTATGGCAATGTATATTATCTTAATATTAACACTTGTTCCAGAAATTTAGTGTAAGCCTTTAACCATACAAACCAATAAGTGCCAAGTTCTAAGGAAAGGAAAAAAAATCAAAGGTTTATGTATCTGGTTTGTATGACAGTCAATTTTCAATCTTTAATAAAAGTCCAGTCCCAAGTCTGGCAGGTCATTAAACATGTTGTCCAGTTCCGCCTCATTCGTTTTCATCATATTTGAAATGTCTTTCTCTTCATTTTCTATGATGTCCATAACGTCATTTAGAGGCTGATCTGTTCCATATGGCTCTGTCTCAGCGGCAGAAATAGTAGAGGCTGTGTGTGTCTCAGCGGCAGAAATAGTAGAGGCTGTGTCCATCTCAGATGTATCCATCTCAGATGATTCTGCATTTTTGTTGTAGGCAAGGGTTTAACTGGTTCGCAGTCCACTTGTGAGGGCATGGGTTTAACTGGTTTGGAGATTGCTGTTGAGGCTCTGATCTGACGCACGACAGCAGTTGAAGAAGAGGATGGGAGTGCTAAGATCACAGGAGGCGCTGGAATCACTGGTAGCACATGTTCCCTCTGATGCCTGATAAGCTCATCTCTCTTAGCTTCCGCACATGTGAAATAACACCCTATTCTTTCACATCGTAGAGTCTTCTTGTGTTCAAACTCAATATGTATCCAAAATGCATTCTCACTGAAATTTTTTCATACATATCCAAGGCTTGTGCACTTTCTTCCCAGGTGGAGGGCTACACACTCTCTTACAGGTCTGAAATAAATTATTTTAACACGTTCAATGACGAATAATCTAATAAATTTCATGTTCGTCCATCAAAGCTGGCTTCTTGCGAGCCCCATGCCTTTCATTCCCCTTTGACTTGATAATTTCAACTTCATCGTCAATAGCATCACTTTTCATATTATCATTATTAGAATTGTCATTACACACATTGTTCTTCAAACGATCATGATGTATGACTCTTGTATCCTTGTCCTTAATCCTGACCTGATACCTCAAATCATCTATTCTATCCACAATTCAAAAAGACCGTGCCATTTCAATGTCATCTTCGGACTCTGACCAACCTTCACTGCTGGAACATGTACCCAAACCAAAGAACCAGATTCATATCGCTTTGTGTTTGATTTAATATCATACCCAAGTTTCTGTCTGTCACTTGCTATTTGAATATGTTTCCTAGCTTCATCATGAACTTTCAGCATTGTAGATTGTAAATCATGACAATAGATAGTGTAATAGCTACTATCAACCAGACCATGTTCAACATGTGCCGATGAGCCCAAAAACCCGAAAATCTAAGGTCTTTCTGACAGTTTAAGGGACAAATTGGAGGTAAAACGTAGATATATAAGCACTAGTGCCAAAGGGAAAGGACGAAAAGTTGTAATGGAACTTAGCAAGAGAAAGCAAACTCTAAGTGCATACCAGTCAAGAAAAACAAACCCATTATATCGCCCAAAACCATGATCTACTTGAAAAGAACATTTATAGGCTCTAGTGATATTCAATCAAAGTTAGGAGTTCTAAACCATAAACTCATTCATCTTAAAGGACAAATTTCATCTGCAGATTGATAATTTCATAAAGTTTGTTTTCATTTCCTGGTTTGCAATTGACCTTTTTCCAAATAAATGAAAAATAGATGGCATCATGGGTATTGGTAGAGCTCGGGTAGGGCTAGAATACATGTAAATGTATTGCCAGAGTCACTTAATTTCCTGATTTAAGAAGTAATTCCATTTGGATCAACTTAAGACATCATTGTAATGTAACAATATGACCTTATTGACATGTGGATTGTGATTTCACATTAAAATTGTGATCCTTGTGAGATTAAATGAACTTTTAAAGGTTTTTCAGCATTGTTTCAATGGGGATTTAGCCCGACCGTTTTTATACAACCAGAAAATCATTAGAATTTGAATAAAGGTAAATAACAGTGCAAATCAAAGTTGTTTTGATAGAGAATTACACACAGAATTCAAATATGCCATCAGATAGAAGAAAAAGTTAATTTTAATGGTAAAAATGCAGATCTCCTAAAATCTCATGAAAAACGAGACTTTAACGAGATTTCAAAGCTATATGGAAAAAGGACCATTCTGGGCACAATTATTCTTTCAATATTTCTCAATGTTAAGGTAAGGAGCTGAAGGAGACCACTCTAACTTGTAAATACTCCTAATATATGTAGAGTGGGTCTCTACAACTACCCCCCTCAAAGAAAAGATTGGTTTGCCCTCAAACCACTTGACTAATTGAAAACAAGACAACACATTCCGTAGAGCACTTGTCTGAGTCTCTTTTTCCCATATCATATCATAGTATACAGTAGTTTAAAGGCTATAATCAAGTCCCAGTAGCTTAGCTACGGATTCCTCAGACAGATCAATGTCATTGTCCATGGAACATCCCACGTAGGGGTCGCCTAGTAGGGGAGAATAAGCAGGCGCTGAAGAGCTTGCTACCGAGGTGGTGCTGCTTGGGTATCCATTGCACGTGAGCTGGTTTCCTTCTCCCCAGGACAGGTGGTGGTGTCACTCGTGGAGAGTTCTGCTTTAATGGACTTGAGAGTTGGAGAAAGCCTCCTCTTTTTCTCAGGCTGTGGCTCCTAACATATTCTATGTTCCCGCAGGTGGTGGAACAATCTCTTCTCCACGGCATTGGGTTTAAAAGTTTCTTTGCAACCCCCACATTGAACAGTCCTATTGTAGGCCTGGTGTAAGCGCACTTTCACTTTCAAAGCTTTCTAGACAGAGGTACTGTCTACCCTCTGGCCACTTACGAGGGGGTGTCATAGCGACTCAACATTGCTGGAAAGGAAATCTTAGATTAAGTTTTTTTTTTATAAAGTTCTTGTGCCTGTCAAAAAGACACCAAAACTCACCATATCTAAGATAAGATTCTTACCTGTCTATCACACATAAAGGGTTTTAGTATTTATACGAACCCCCTTAGAACTACAGATACTAATCTTTTAATATTACTTACATTCAATTACTCATGGCAACTTGTCCAACGGGACACTATGGTGATCTTTTTATCATCCTCTTTCCAATCTATACAAGTCTGATACAATGATTAATATACACTGACCCTCTCTTATCATGAGCCCTAATATGTCTTGTATTCATCCAACCATTCTGGCCTTTTTCGAACCCTTGGTTTTATCCCACAAAACCCTTCTTGTCCCTTAATCGTTTCTTGGGAAATTATGTTTTCGGGAATATTTTCTGTTTCAAGCTCTACCCCCTTGGGATCTCCTGCTATGGAAGGTTTCAACCTATCGTGGTGAATGACTCACTTATCCTTATCACTAATTTTGATCTGATATCTCAAGTCATCAATCTTTTGAACCACTTCAAAGGGTCTGTGCCATTTTAACGCAAATTTTGGACTTTGTCCAACTTTGACCGCAGGGATATGCACCCGGACTAGTAATCCCTTCTGACTCATACATTTTCAAGTTTGTCTCTTCTGCCGATCACTAGCTAGTTGAATATTCCCCCGAGCCGCCGCGTGAACATTTAGCATGATACTTTGCAATTCTTGACAATATTTGTTATAATAGGTACTTTCAACCTCCCCTTGTTCAATCTCAATAGGTGGACCGAGTAAAAGGTATGTAGAGGTTCGCACTTCCCTTCCGAACATCAGAAAGTTTGAAATTATTTCTGAATTTTCCAAAATTTGGTGGTTACAGACTTCAAGTAATTTTAAGTAGTGTTATACAAGCCCATAGCCCCATAAAAGTATATATTTTTTGAAAGCTTACATGATGAACTATCATTTAGAACCATATTTGTACAGTTAAGGGGTATTATAAGAGTATATGACATGTTCAAACATGGAAAAATAAAAAAAATTATCGCAAAATTATCTTGAAAACAAGATACACCATTAATACATACCTTTTTAGGTCTTCTTGGTTCCTCTTATAAGCATATATTCTTAGTAATATTGAAATAATAAATATCACTACATACCAGTTGGTATTGTTGTTGTTGTTGTTGTCTTATTGCAAGGTTTCTGTGGTAGGCAGCATGGTATTCACCAGTGCAAAGTCTCACTACACAAATTCTGCACCCCCGCCATGTTTCCTTGCGGTCATTTTGGCCTTGATTTTTGCAGCAATAATCACATCTGCCTTTAGGAAGGAGTCCCAACCATGTGAACATTTTCATGACCAGGTTCTTCTACCAGGGAGACTTTGGCATTGGGTTTGGGACTACAATTTGTTCCCAGAAGTTCTGTTATAAGTTCGCATAAGAACTCCAGTGGGGTCTTGATTTTAGCTGCTACTGGATGGTTGCTGAAGTGTTCCTTGTAGAGAATATAAGAGTTTACACGCACCCTGTCTAAGGCAAGCCTAAAAAATGGTCGAAGCCACCAACGCCTGGACTTTTGGTCACAATTATAAGGATACACGAGCGAGTCATTTATATCCACTGTCCCCATGTATTTGTTGTATAGGAGAACACAGGGAGGGCATGGCTGTTGAACTATTGTACCATCCTTTTCTTCTAATTGTCGATGGACCTCTAGGATTACATACATTTGTGAGAAAACTGACAAGCTTTGTATCCTTCCAAGTAGCAGCAGTGAGATTTTCCGTATCGGGAACAATAGCAGTATGATATATGCCTCTGTCCTTCATTCTAGCGGTTAGTTGTTTGTCATTTAGTGATTTTGGAAAGTCCTTTCTATTTGGCATTACTGAACCACATGTGTAAATGCCATCATCTTTCAGCTGTTTTGCCAAAGGAACACCAGTAAAAAACTATCGATATATGCAACATGAGATTTTCCAGAAATGTCTGCTGTAAGGTCCCAAACTACTCTACCACCAAGACCAATCTCTTGCGCATCCTCTTGTTTTCCTGCATAATTCTGAAACTTCCACAGGTAGGCACTTACAGAATCACCAAGGCACCATATGTTTGTCCCACATTTTATAGGTTTCATGGGCATATATTGCATCACAGGGTTATGTCCCTTTATCATGGCTTCATCAACAAAAAATTCTTGGTGAACGTGGTAGTTTTCACTGAAGGTTTGATTTAGAGTATCTGTGACTGGGCAAAGTTTGAAGAGTTTGTCGAAGCCTGCACTACCTCTTGGGTGCTCACGAAGGTAGCTTTAATTGTCTGCTAAATGTATGTTGCCCCATATAGCTACCAATCGGATCTAAAGATCTCAAGTCCAAAAGTAAAGGTTAGCCTATGGATGAACTGATTCTAAATTTGGGTTTTTCTTATGCCGATATAGCCAATGCTATGGGTAGTTTTTCATGTTGTGTCACTTTTCATGGTTGAAAATATAAGGAACGTGCCCTGTTTATGGTAACTTGAAATGATATAGGCCCTGAATAACCTACCTATGAAGGGTTGTTTTTGGAACACCATACGCCACTGCCGCCTGCCCTAAATCAACATGTGGCGATGGCCATGATAAGCAGCAATGACACACTTGAGAGCTTTGTCACCATAATCACCCCTATACACGTGCTGTAAAAAGTGAAATAAATGAAAAAGGGGTAAGACAGATGGTCGTTCCATCTTACCCCACCACCACGTGATCTACAAAATGTCGTCTGCTATTAAAATGAGAAAGCTAAATGATTTTATTTTTTTTAAATTATAGGTTTTTCAATTATCTATTTAGAAATATATAATTTACTATGTATTATATGTATATTCAAGGTTTTTTAGGCGATCCAAACCTCATGAAATGTTCTAAGAATGGCTTAGAAAAACTGACATCAGCTATGCATTAAAAGTCAGAACAAGATTTTTATAAATGGGAAAGTGATGTAAAGTTTCAACCGTCAAAGACTGAGGATGTTATTTTAAACACCAGGGGTGTGAACTCAATGGAATATGACTCAATGGAATGGAAAAATATGTAATGTTGCTAAAAATGGATAATTACCAGGGTTTTTAGGTCTACGTAGGGTAGTAAAATGGACAGAGAGAGCAGCTTATTGGGCAAGAATTATGAGATAGGGACTGAAAAATGAGGTCACCTTTGAATATCTTTCCAGATTGTAATCAAATTTTATATAATTTCCAAGTTTTCTATTTTCCCTTATGGCTCTTCATTATGTTCTATATATTTTCTTTGCATTTCAAGTTTAATTGCTTTTAGTAATCGTTTTATTCCAAACGTACTCCCATTTTCAAAGACATGTTGAAAATGAAAGTACTTTAATATGCATTCCATATGTTTGACATATATGTTATTTTTATCCCGAAATGATATATTTATTAAGCTTTCTGCTTTTGTTTGATGCACATATTTCAACCAATATTTTATGGAATTTATAAGTGAATCTATAGCTAATGGAAATCTTCCTAAATCTTTTTTGACGGCATAACTTGAAGTATATTTGTTAACCCCTAAAAGGAATTTGCAAAATTTATTGTGTATTTTTTCAGGAATAAAGTCTTCATAAGAACTCTCTAGTTTAAGGTCCCCTTGACTAATCCTTCTGTCAACCTTCAAGTGAAGCATTGACCAAAATTCACATCCGTATAATAATATAGGCTTAACACACATGTCAAAGATTTTTGTGTGCAATTCTACATTGATAGTTGAAAACTTAAAATTTTGTCTCATCATAAAAATAACTTTCAACGCCTTCTTCACGGTGACCAAGAGTTAACAGTGCAAATCGGCCCGGTCATGTTTTTTTAAACTCTTTAGTCGTGTTTTTTTGAAAATTTGAGAGGTAGGTTGATAAATTTGGTCATGAAATTGCTGTCACTTGACTTTATGTAAAAGTAAGTAATTTATATTGCTCTCCATACTATATATCTTAACTTCAGGTATTCGTAAACGTGTTATTTGCACGAATCGTATGCTATAGTCTTGTTATATCGGGAAATGAGCAATTCTGTCAGTGTTATACATTTTTTTGCCTGAAAATCACTTGCCTGGCTTGTATTCAATGAATACATCGATTCATAAGGAAAGCTTTCACAATATGTGCGAAAATCAAAAGTTAGAAGAGCTTAAATAAGTAGCAATTGACCGAATAATATTTTTTAGATTAAACTCTTTAGACGTGTTGAAAAGATTGCGGTTAATGACGTTGACCTGTTAGTGAAACGTTCTAGACGTGTAGAGACATTGAGGTTTAACGATTTGGAAGTGGGAAACAGCAGAATTAACATTATGTATTTCCCAAAAAATGATCACAATGTGGAAGAAGTTGTTGTCTGAGTGACACTATCTTAATTATAAGTGATTAACAATAATCAAATGTACGACATAATATGTCAAGATTGATCTATGGGATCACTACCGAATTTGATACTTAAATCAAAATGGTTAGAATCAGACACGCATGGTTAATGCAAGCGAGCTTTGCCTCGTCGCTCGTCATTTTGAAAATTTTACCAGTCATATTATTTTTTAATTGCCCTGTCGCTCATTAAATGGCTCATTGCTATTTTTGAATTTGGCTCAAATACGTTTTAAAACGTCCCTATTGGCCTTAAACTCACTTTTCCCTGTCATGAACATAAATAAATTTATTTAAAATGAGAGGAAATGTTTAGTTTGTGATGCACTACATGTAAATGCATATATATGATCACCTAATGAAAGGAATAACTCCACCGTTATTAAAATCGTATGCTCAATATCTATTAAGTTTGCCTCAGGATTTTTAACAATTTGATTCGATGTTATTCCCTAATTCGCCTCACACAATGCAATACAATTTCAATTTTAATTTTCAAATTGCAATAGGTAAAAAACGCTACATATGCTGCTATCGTTCTATGAGTGATCTATGAACTGTACTGTAACATAGTTTTCTAGCGAATTAAATTACAACATCTGTTGATCTTGTTAAATCATATATCTGTCTTTTTTATTTATTCATATCTTGACTACAAATTACAATAAACGGGTGACACATAATGTATATTCCCGTGTTTTATACTAATACATGAACAGATGGTGGGGATCTGCTTGTGTAATAATGCATACTATTTGTTTCTGGTTAATAGTGTGTGTCGCACTAGGCCCGCAAATTATTATAAAACCAACATAAACTATAAATTATATTATTGATTAAGAAGATACTTTTTGAGTTTTAACTTCTAGCAGAAATACGAGATAGTAAGAATTTAGTTTTTCAATTTATTTTAGTACTAGATCGTGGATAGGGATGTCAATTCTGAACAGATCAGTCGGATGAACCTTCTCATAATGTTCAAGGAAAGTGTTCTTATGAGCGCTTTTGAAAGAGCACGCGTGGCACTTATTCCGAGGAACTGAAATTACAAAATATGTGAATAGTCATGTAGTACAAACACTTATCTTCAAAGTACTAATACGATTATTTTCAGAAGCACAGACAAATTATTAAGCAACAAAACATGGTCAATGTGAACAATATTACAAGACAATTCAAAGTCGTTAATTTTATCACGTCTAAAACATTATCTTTACAATTCCAAAACGTTAACATGCTTATTATAAGACACGTCCATGACGTTATATTGTCCCTTCTCCATAGTTAACTCCACTTTCTACATTTACGGTCATTCATGGCAATTTTAAGATAAATACAGTTAAAATATTTACACGATCTTTAGAGTAGTGAATATTATGCTACGTTGTTGAATGGATTGTCTGTTTAAACTTGATTAAATAACACTAAATGCAAACTACATATACATATTTCTGGCACTTTTGGTATATATTTGCGATTGATATGAAGTATGATGGATTTATCCCCAAAATAGATTCGTGGGTATGAAGAAGAACATCTTAGGTAGAAGTCAAGATATGTAAGTTTGTAAAATATAGAATATTCTTACCATTTTGCTCCATTCTATTGAATGTCGCATCCCATATTCTTACAAAACACGACTAAAGAGTTTAAAAAAACACGACCGGGCCGATTTGCACTGTTAACTCTTGGTCACCGTGTTCTTGCTTAATTCTGATATGCCATGTTTCAAATTCCCAGAGCTTTTTAAAACAAATCCCAAATATTTATATTCATTTACTTTTTCTATATTTATACTTCCAAATTTAAAATTACTGTGTTTTATTATTTTTCCTGATTTATAAAAATCACAACTTTCGTTTTTTCAATATTAATATTTAATTTCCATTTTGAACAATATGTTTTTAGTTTATCAAGACTGTATTGTAGTCCCTCATTTGTTTCTGATATCAAGACCAGATCATCCGCATATAAGAGTACGTTTATTAACGTTTCATCATTACTTCTGATTTTGACAGGCTTACATTGGTCATCAAAAATATCTATTATGTCATTTATATATAAGTTGAAACAAAAAGGACTGATTAAGCAGCCTTGTTTTAATCCTAATTTAGAGTGTATTGGACTTGTTAACCCGTTTTTAAGTTTTACTCTGTATATGACACTTGAGTACATGTTATCGATTATATCATATATTTTGCCTCCCATGCTTAGATTTTTTAATTTCTGCAATAAAAGTGGCCTGGGTATGCTATCATAGGCTTTTCTGAAATCTACATATTCATGTATATAAATATTTCCCTACCGTCACGTATTTATCAATTTACTGTTTCAATATCAATAAGTGATCTGCAGTTCGGCAATTTTTTTATAACCCTATTTGTTCTCTATGAATTATATTTTGCGACTCTGAATTCTTCCATTCTTTTATTCAAAATATCCGCAAACAATTTACTCATTGCACTTGATAACGCAATCCCAAGATAATTATTTGGTAATAAATAATCTCCACTTTTAAATAAAGGTTTAATTAGACTCTCTCTCCATTGAGTAGAATAAATGTTATTATCAAGGATATTATTAAAAAGATTTCTTATCACCTGTATCAACATGTCTTGACTATTTTTTAACATTTCATTTCTAATTGAATCTAAACCAACAGCTTTATTGCTCTTCAACTTATTTATACTTTTTTTAAGTTCTTTCATTGATATTCCACGATTAAAGTGTTCTATTTCAATAAAAGTATAATTATTATTATCCTTTTTGCTATCATATTTACCAACTTGTTCCATATTCTCTTTCATTAAATCTTTGAAATATTGAACCCATTTATCGAGAGCTATTTGATTACATTTATCAACCTTAACATCATGTTTACCATCTTTGAATTCCTCTATGGTTTTCCAAAATGCTTTCGGGTCATTTTTTTCTAGTTTCATTACACCTCTTACCAATTTATCCTTATATTCTCGTTTCTTTTTACGTATAACTGATTTATATATTTTTCTTAATCTATACAATTCTTTAATATTTCCATCTGTTGGGCATTTCCCTACTAGTACTCCAATAGTTCTTATTCGTTTTTTCAAACATTTACAATCTGTATCAAACCATTTGTTCTTCACCTTCTTGGTTTTAGAATGGACGGACGTAGCTAACCTTACAGCTATAGAAACAAAAACAAAAAATAAAAAATAACTATAACATGCTTGTCTTTCATGTCAGAACTGAATATCGTTCTTAACGTAGCACTGAATTATTGTCTTTTATATTCAGCGCCTGTTCTGTACAACCTTATTTAGAGCTTCAATCAAGAGATTTAAACTACTCTGGCCTTGACACTCGTCGCGACTATCATATACGTGCTCGGTTCTATCAAACCTCTTGTCAGATCTATTTTCTTGATTGTTGGGCCATCTACCGTTTATCGTATCTCCTCTTCTATCTTCATTGGTGTTTCTCCCCCTATTTCGGTCTACATCCCATCTGTGTGTGAAAGGTTATATGTTTTTCGTGTCATTGTCCAAGAACTGTCGCCTGTTTTGTGCACTATCCCTTTTAACTCTCGGGATACCCATCACATATTGTACTTTGTACTTGATGTTGCCGGCTGATAAGTATGTCCCTTTGTATTTATTCAAATGGCAGTGTTTTCCCGAATTCTTTGTTTTGTCGGTTTAGAAAACCATCTTTATCTCCAAATTCGTGGTTCATAATGAAATGTACTTTTTCAGTGTTCTTAAGTCCCTGGGTTATACGATCTTTAAATATTGCGATGTCCTCATTTAATCGTCTATCTTCCGTCGGGCATGGTAAAGATATAATGAGATTCTTGCAGTCTTTTGCCGTGTTTCTCGCCCATTCTATATATTCGTCTGCAGCCGTTTCTGGGCTTCCATGCTGTCTTATGTCGTTTATTCCCATAGCTATGTACAGGGTGTGTCTCTACAACTACCGGCCCTCTTAAAAATTGCATGTTCATCCATTCTCATCACGAAACTAACTGTTTTTAGACCTGTGCTGTTAAAACAAGTAAAAAGGTATTAAATCAACTGTTCAAGTTAAATAGTCCAATTTGGAAGCACTAATTCAATTGTTCACATCATCAGCAATCAAATCACAAACATTGTTCCAGCTAGTCGAGTAAGTCCCCGTCATCGGACAGCACCGAAACATCTGGGCCTTGCTAATAAGTCATTTATCTCTTGAAACGCAGACCACAAAGGGTCCTCACTATCGTCTCTCATCCCAACAGGCAAAATGGAAGCCTGAAGTTAGGGCGCAGGTGTCAATACCAATTCGGGATTGGCGTCCTCCAGCTCCTCCTCCACCAAGCCAATATCAAAGGCACCTGCACCCTTTCACATGTTATTTTCCTTGTTTTGACACTGTATTTTGTAAATTTGAATGGCTGAACTTTGTAGGCCCTATACCTAGGCATCTTGAAGGCCAAAATTACATGATCATCAGCACATGATAAAACAGCTCCACACGAACCATTTACAAGTACATCATTCTCATTATGAATGAGCATTACCGTGGCACCAACCTCGCTCAAGCTCAAGATGACGCATGGCAAAAAACTTTTTGATACATCACCCTTGTCTTTAGACTGGTAGTGGAAGGATTCAGACTGTAAAGTGTCAAGTTTATTTCTGTTGTACTCCATACACAAAATGTTTCTCGAAAACAAATGTGTAGATTCATGGAGACAGTCCTTGGACAGGTTATTTATAAAATCATTAGTTCTTGAAAACTGGGATTCCAAAGACTACATACAAACGATTTGGTACCGGGTTTAGTTGAAAAAAGTCACCAGTTACAATCAGTTGTACTCCCCGGTAAGGTTTATCACTTCCTTTGCATATTTTGCAAGCCATTCCCAGGTATACGAGGAGATCATAGAGATCTCATCCACAATAAGGCTCTCTGTTCTTGAGCTGACCCTTGATTGCCTGAATACGTTAATCCTTTGATGCAAACTTTTTCCGTAGTCCAAGCTCGTCAAAACGGCCATCTTCGATACCAGACCACTTGGAATTTAAAAAATAGAGTAAGACAAGAGCAATAGTACATTTCATTCATTTGTAATAATATGTGATTAGAACAGGCCCAGCAACAAGAGTCCCCCCACTCTGATAGAATGGAGTCTTATATTAGTCTACGATGATGTATGAATGATTTTGGATGAATGCCAAGTATTGAAATATATAATGTAAAATTACATGGAATACATTTTACTTCCTTGTTGATTGTCATGCCACCCACATTATTAGCAGTAACACCAGTTCAACACAAATGTTAAAATGATTAACCTTGTTGAATTTTCATTGTATGAAATTAAATGTTATAATATATGAACTTGAAATAAAAATGATTAATAAAAAAAAAAGTAACACCAGTACTCACCACAATGTTGAACTTCTTGTGGATCCTCCTGAATGGGATTTCAACTGGTTTGCAACTTCACTTTTCCTGATCCTGCTTGCCCAAGAACCATTATGTTGTGCCCGGCCACTGCGATTTGAATGATCCTCGTTGCTCCGCATCTAGAGGCTCCCTAGCACATTAGAACATTTCTAGCTGTGGTGTGGCATGTAAAGAATAAAATGGTTATTTTTAACTTGAAAAATTCTAAGTAGACATCCTTAATATCTAAGTAGACATCCTTAATATCTTTCTCAGCATACACAAACTCTGTTAATTTGAAGTTCACATCCATGCAATTATGTTGCTATTTTCTATTGTATTTCTGTTAAAATTAAGTACATGTTTAAATTTGACAAAATCAATAAATATCCCACAGTTGATAATTGTAATATTTATTGACTATAATACGCCCGGTGATCGTGAATATGGGACGGAGGGGGGGGAGCAGGCAATTTCTGCTAGGAAATTCAACAAATCTGGAAGATTTATTTTTTCAAGAAAAAGTTTACTATTGAATTGCTAAATGGATAGGCGCACGGTATGGTAGAATATGTTAGGTTTTCTGGGATTTTTTCTGAAACAATACGCATCTAAGGTATGAGATCTATTAAAAAAGGCGCAAGGCCATCAACAGGCACAAATCAACGTTTTTGCTATAAATCAAGCAACAATGGTCTGGACGACCTGTAATAAATACTTGTAAGTGATGTTATCATAACTAAATTAATGTCATTGCTGAATTTATAAAATAAGTTTCCATATGTGAAATAAAAAATAATCGAAAATAATGAATTTGGGACGGAGGGGGGGAGGGGACGGAGGGGGGGGAGCAATATGTATATAAGACATGATTAGAGATGTTTCGCGACTTTAAGTCCTTTTACTCCAAATGTCCCCATTTTTCAGTCTCCAGGGGTATATCATCCAGTTTCTTACTAAGTTAATGAGTTCATTTTTCAAATACAAGAATTCGTGTGAAGTTGTTTCACTTTATAGAATTACTACTCCCCCCCTCCGTCCCCTCCCCCCCTCCGTCCCATTTTAATTATTTTCGATTATTTTTTATTTTACGTATGGAAACTTATTTTATAAATTCAGCAATGACATTAATTTAGTTATGATAACATCACTTACAAGTATTTATTACAGGTCGTGTAGTCCATTGTTGCTTGATTTATAGCAAAAACGTTGATTTGTGCCTGTTGATGGCCTTGCCCCTTTTTTAATAGATCTCATACCTTAGATGCGTATCGTTTCAGAAAAAATCCCAGAAAACCTAACATAATCTACCATACCATGCGCCTATCCATTTAGCAATTCAATAGTAAACTTTTTCTTGAAAAAAAAAATCTTCCAGATTTGTTGAATTTCCTAGCAGAAATTGCCTGCTCCCCCCCTCCATCCCATATTCACGATCACCGGGCGTGTATAAGTGTATTTCCATTTTCCAATATACATGTACTGGCATTACTTATTTATTGTGCTTATCAAAAAATGTATTTCTTTGTTTAAATCTATATGGATGTATTAAGGGTATTATGATCTAGCTTAGTACAACTATGATTCCTGTGCATATCTTACCTTAGGTTTTGGAGGTTGTTGATGAATTTCAAAGGGGGTATACATTTCTAGCTGTGGTGTGGCCTGTAAAGAATCAAATGGTTATTTTAACTTGAAAAATTCTTATAACCCTAAGTAGACATCCTAAATATCTTTCTCAGCATACACAAACTCTATTTATTTTAAGTTCACATCCATGCAATTATGTTGCTATTTTCTATTGTATTTCTGTTAAAACTAAGTACGTGTTTAAATTTGACAAAATCCATAAATACAAATATCCCACAGTTGATAATTGTAATATTTTATTGACTACAAGTTTATTTCCATTTTCCAATAAACATGCACTGGCATTACTTATTTATTGTGCTGATCAAAAAATTATTTCTTAGTATTAAATCTATGGATGGATTAAGAGTGTTATGATCTAGCTAAGTACACCTATGATTCCCTTGCATATCTTACCTTAGGTTTTGGAGGTTGTTGATGGATTTCATACAAGGGGTTACGGGTGTAAGTTTCTAGCTGTGGTGTGGCCTGTAAAGAATCAAATGGTTATTTTTAACTTGAAAAATTCTTATAACACTAAGTAGACATCCTAAATATCTTTCTCAGCATACACAAACTCTATTTTAAGTTCACATCCATGCAATTATGTTGCTATTTTCTACGGGTGGGAGTCAAAGTTTCTAGCTGTGGAGTAGCCTGTAAAGAATCGAATGGTCATTTTTAAATTGAAATTTTTGAACTCAAGGGACACTTAGGCATCCCAAATATATTTCTCAGCACAAATCATGAACATACCTATCTGGATGTTGTTTGATCTGAAGAAAGGCCTTGTGCCTTTAGGAGGACATATATAGTCTAAAATGAATTAATTTAAGGATTAATATATTGTAATGCATTTTGAAACATTTATTTATAGCATAAATTAAGTATAGCAAAGGAATGAAACATTATTTAGACATTTGATTTACATTAGAGATCAGTTATTCCAATTTTTCAAATCATTTATTGCATTTTAATTTTATATTTTTGTACCCATTTTCCAGGTTGTTCAATATTTCAATGTCCATCAAATGACGAAGTTAATTTAGTTCCCTTCTCTTCTAAGGAGTCAAAATGTTGAAACAACGAAACCACACAAAAAGTCTATGTCACATAATTAATCAATCTTTTCCCCCTCACCCTAACGTATAGTAATTAACTACGGTTTTTGATGGACATGTTTTGACCAGTCCCCCAAGTGAACCACATTTAATAGTTTTGTCATTAAGTTTACGTGAATATCTCGTTCTTTATCTTTCTCTTTGGTGACCTTTGTGCTTTTTGTCTTCGTTTTCTTGGAGGCTGTTACCTCATCAAGCTCATCTTCAAAGAGAAGTTTCCTTTTTACTAAAGAGAAAATGTTTACATGATTCAGTATATTCATATAGCTCTTTTGATGAAGGAAACATGTTTTTTTAATCCTATTTCCAAACTCCTATTTGTACACACACAACCATTGAATTTAACAGCAATTTTTAACCTTGATTAAGGAATAAATAATGATAGGCCATTCAATATGGTGAAATTCAGCACGAGTTGGACAGAATGTTGTACAAAGCACGAACCGAAGGTGAGTGCATTTGTACTAACATTCTGCTATTCAAGGCACTCTTTGAATAATTGTCACCATTTTTCTGTCGAACTGAAGCGTAGAACTCTCTGAGGTGTTCAGGAAATGATTCTGAGGAAATCATATCATCTAAAGTCATCTTCAACTGTTCTGTACACCATTCTGGAAAGAGCATGCGAGAAATGCTATTAAGGATTGAATCTACAATACAGTAAATGGTCATACTTTATGTGTATTATTAAGGATGGGGAAATGTACTACTTTTATATACAGTGTACATGTAGGTAAACATATTAAATCTAATTATTGGCTACATATGATATTTAAAGCTTATACATTGCATTTATATATAATCTATACATTTATACGTTACATTTTACACCGGGCATTTTACCTGTTACAATTTTTATGGCCCATTTGGTTTGCGTTTTTGTTGTAGTTTCATGTCGACTGTCTTCAAGTTTTGATATTTCAGATTCGCTAGGATTATAAAACCGTGATTGTTGATTGGGCTGTTCAGGCTCTTGTATCTCACCAAGTTTGACGTCCTTGATCTCACACTCAGTGTCATTTGGCACAATCTGAAAATAAAAATAGAATTGTCATGTCACATATGATAGGCCATGATACGTGTAAGCCTAGATCTACGATAGAACACTGGATCTCAAGTTCAAGTTGTTGGGGAGATGGTGATTAGACCCCGGATTAGACCTAGGCTACATGTATCAAATACACACACATGTAGCACAGGAGGCTCGGTAACAAGAGTTAACCCCCACTCAGTGTAAGCATTCAAAACACACATACACTATCACTATACCTTTTTAAAGCTTGGAAATTACATAAATATTATGTTCTGGCAGTAATTTATAACAACGAGTAGCTTAGTAACTTACCGGGACAATCTGGTCAATTTTTTCCTGGTCATCGAAATCAGACTCTGAGAGTTCTATGCATTTTAAATCACTCTCTATTGCCCGTGTCATTTCATTTTCCCCTAATTTTGAAATGAAATATACTTCATATGTTTGGTAATAAGAACGCTCCATAATAACTCTTAAATCGTCCTTAAATAAGACTAGTTCACCGACTGCAAACTTGAAGTCAGCCATAGTTAAATAGTTACAGTAGTTACGGAGGGAGTAAAAAAGAACAGCTATCCCCGGACAGAGCCCCAGATGTGCAGCTGAGATGTGACGTCACTCAAAACAATGCAAATTGCAGATTGAATAAAGCATGGTCGTGCATCTATGGAGAATTAGAGAACGTTCTATATTGGCTATGCTGCATTCTGATTGGTTGAGAAATTCGAATAGAGCACGGTCATGTTTGAATATCATATACAATTCCAAAAAATAGTAACAAAAAGTCCAAAACATTAAAAATGACACATGTGTAGAAAATTTCATAATCGAGGCACAATGACTCAATCTTCTTAAAACTCAAACATTGCTCATTGCTCAATTTGAACACATTTTTATTGTATTAAATTTAGTAATAGGATTTGAAAAATCCACTTGAATCTTGCTAGTATTTGCCCACCTACCCTCCCCCAATTACCACCAATGAATAATCCCCCAACAAAGGTGAGATCAAGAAAATGGTAAAAGAGATATTGTTAGTAATACGTGAATATAATAGCAACTAAAATAATTACTATTGTATTGGTCAGATGTACTGTTTATTTTTCAGAAATAATTTAGCTGATTAAAACAAAATTAAAAAAAATATGTGACATAAATGACTACTCCCTAAAAACCCACACAGTCCAAAAATACAGATACATAATATTTACCAGTGTTCTCCTTTGAGTTCTGAATAGTCTGCTTTTTTTCTTGATGGATGTTCTTGGTTTGATGGGCTTGGGTTGTGGAAGGGTGTCTGGCAGTGTGGCTGGTTCTTGTAGGGGGCCATCTGTATTATTAACATCTGATATCATATATAATTCAAAAAATAGTAACCAAAAGTCCAAAACATCAAAAAATGACATGTGTAGAAAATTTCATATTTAGGCACAATGACCAATCTTTTTAAAACTCAAACATTGCTCAATTTGAACACATTTTTATTGTATTAGTTTTAGTAATAGGATTTGAAAATGTTTATTTCCAACGCATAAGTTTGTCAAACAACATTTGTTGTTCTGAAACAAAAGCAAGTATAATGAAAAAACAACGGCACCCGCCTCCACAGCAAAGAAGTCCTTAATGTTACATATCGTGTCATACCCCATTTGAAAGATAATTTAATTCTGGAGTTACTTATGAAATTTCATTTAATAGAATATTAAAAACGCTACATTGTTTCAAAGTTTGCTACTTCGGTACTTTGTTTGCTGCTCCGTTACTGGTTAAAGGTCAAATCTTCAGAAAGTGGAATATGAAAGAATTAGCCCAGATTGCAACTGCACTGAACAAATGGGTGTAGTTCTGAAAACAGGGTATAGGAATTGATGGAGAAAGAGCTGATCTTGAAAAAAGATACAGTAAGAATGGAATTCTGAAGATTGTGAGGAAAGTGCTGAGATGATTATGCAATGCTACACCTTTATCTGAATTTTTATTGAAGTCATATCCGTCCAGATAAGCTGCTGTTCGAGCAGCATCTGGTGGTCATACCAACTACTAAGAATCAGTTGTAAATGTGTAAAATTATATGATATAAAGCTGAAATTTCTCAGGTAACTCCAGAATTACATTGTCTTTAAAATGAGATATGACACACCATGTTACATTAAGTACTTTTTGCTGTAGGGGGGGGGGTGCTGTTGTTGACACCCTGTACATTATCTTTTAACCACACACGCTCTTTTTCATTCCCTTTCAAGCTGATAGATATCAAAACATGCTTCTACTTACATAATATGATGATTAGGATAATGATGTCTGTGATTACTTCTGGTGATAAGAGTCCTTGGAGTATACGGTAATCATCCATAAGGCACTATAATTGCTTTGGCACTATTTACTGTTTCTCTTTCTTAAAACAGGTAACACTGCATGTAGTTCGGGTTCAGACAATATCAGGTGTTCTGCTAAAGTACATGAGAGATGGGTTGTTTTATTCTTTATCCCATGGAATCGAATCCCTACCTCATTAAATTGTTTATGGATTGATTCAAAGCCCTGTTCTCCATGGAAGGCAAGCCCACACTTCCACTTTTTAATCCAAGGTAGAAGATGGTCTTCAATCATATGGAATTTGACTGGAATGGATTCATGTGGAAAAAGTCTCCGAAATGTTGAAGTATAGTCATTTATACAATCCTCTATGATAGTAAACTCAAACTCCTGAATATATAATCCATGGCCAACCATCGTGTGCAGTGTTCCAAATGATTTGTTTAATTGTTTGAATTTTTCCACAATTTTATGAGCTTAAGCTATCATTTGTTCACGTCTATGAAGGTGTCTAAAATGGTATTCTGTTTTCGTAACAATTTGCATCACAAAGATCAGTGTAGCATTCTTGTTTTGAATAAATATTTGCGTGATTTCCAACAAAACATTTGCCAAAATATTCTTGAAGCGTCACTCCATGACTCAACTCCGCTGTAATGCTTTGTCTAAACATTCAGTTATGGGTCCTTGATCTTTTCGTATTATTTGCTGTAATTCAGAGTTCATTTTTTCTATTGTTTCATCATATATTTCTTTGTCTCTTGTCATGATATCACGCTCCTATTGTTGACTTTGAAACTGTCTAATGTCCTTTATTTTTTAACGTACTTTCCAAATAATTTAGATCTTCCACTTTCTGACAGAAGATTATGTTTGGCAAGAACATCTGCTGAATGTTTGTCTTACTCATGCATTTCTTTTATCAATAATTCATGATGCTTTAATGTTAGCCCAAGTAAGATATCTAAGTCACGGTGTATAACCCAAACGCTCCTACATGCACGACGGAACGTTTCATTTACGCGGAAACGCTCCGGAGCGAAATAAAATGGCGGCTAATGAAGATTCCACTATGACCGTAAGTATTGTTTCTCTCGTTTCTCTTACATATCATATGTTATGGTGAAATATTATGTACCATTCGATGAACAATACCGTGAGCAAAGATCTTATTTATTCAACTTCTGGTGGTAAACTGTTATTTGCTTGATCAAAGCTCCGTAGTGTAGATCGAAGGAATCTGAAGATGATGATTGACCACAAATTACGAATTAAACTAGTATTTCTATGAAAACGTTAATATTTCTGTTAAAGTAGTAGATCACAAACTCGTATATTCTAATTTCTTAAAATCCCAGTCCAAATCCATTACTTGTTCTCAAGAAATCGCTTGTTTTCCTCGAAACGCTCCCTCGATTTAGAACACAATTTTAGAAACGCTCTTACCATTTTGTTTTGATATCATTTTCAGATTATTAGAGAAGAGTTCCGAATCGAATCTATCTCTCAAAAACGTGTTGTACTTGTTAGGCAAATTGAAACATCTGAACCTGGTGGTGCTAAACGTGCAACTAGCTGATTGAAGCCTACATTAGATGAGGTCATGCCTACATGTGTGCTAGATCATAAAACTATAGAAAAAAACGAAAATTAATATGTGAATTAATCTTTCTTCTTTTGATGCCAAGGGGTATAATAGATCTTAATTTCTTTCTCTTCATGAAAAGGAAAGGCAAGCTATATATTTCCTAAACAGATCTAGATTACCGGAGCGTTTCCAGTTCACTGTGTTAACCAGATCGGAGCGTTTCTTGAATATGAGAATGTCATCATTTTAAAGACTTGATTTTCGGTCATCAAATCACTATTACGATAATGTATGATGCGTTGAAGCATTGGAATTTGACTAAAATATACGTTGTGCTCTAATCTTGGCTCAACTAATCACATGTAACGACAAAATGGGTTTTGACCGGTAGAATGACAAATACGTTTTTGGATTTTGATAACTATACTGCTTCGTACAGCTGTTCCTAATTGCTTCAAACGTCAACAGCCAGCCAAGTACAACATGAATATCACACCCATCGAATGGTATACTCGAAATATGTAACTCATACCTCTTATTCCCATTATTGGGGAAATCGTCAGACGGCTCATCATTCCCGCCAGCCAGTTTTCCTACTCCGGAGCGTTTCTTTGTTTAATTTCAGTAATGAAACGCTCTGTCGTGCATGTAGGAGCGTTTGGGTTATACACCGTGTAAGTGAGGTGAGGCAATGTGATCAATTTCAATGTTAAAAATGCGTGGATTTATAACATTCATATAATCTTTAGCCTTCTTCTTGTCTCATTCACCTTTGATTAAAAATTTGTTGTACCGTTCATCCAGGTGTTTTAGTGTTCGACTAAAATTAACACCTCCAATTGTACAAAAAAAGATGAGGATGAATTGCAGCAGCTCCACTAAGTTCCATGGTTTTGGTAAGGTATTCATAATCATCACATTTAAAATGGTGTATTGTTTTGTCATTACACTTCATGTGATTTAGTTATCAATCTGAGATTTGTACATTTGAATTGTTTTTTCCATATTAACGTATGTGCCCTTTGCTTCAAAAACCAAAAATGCTACAACATTTTCAAAGTTGATATTAACACTTAATTGTCAATATTCAAAATATCACTTTGGAATTATCGATAATAAGACGAAATAAAGTCAAATTTACATTGGCAGTGAAGTGCAATATCTAGAATGTAATGGAACAATAATTGTTCATAGTAATGACAATTTGGCAAAAATAAGCGCCGATATTTGAAAGTTGGGATTGTCTCTAGAATCCCGATATTGGAAATTATCATTTGCCCAAAGAATCAATATTGATAAGAAGAAATTGACAACAGTCATCAATAATAGTTGACACTGAATGCCAAGATTGGTACATTATTGGGGGATAACCCCATTTTACCGAAAAGCATTACACCGACGCGCATTGTACCGAAAACCATTGTACCGATGCGCATTGTACCGAAAAGCATTACACCAACGCGCATTGTACCGAAAATCATTATTGAAACCTTGATATTTGAAGTTCAAGGCCTGAGGATTATCGGCCTGGATTATCAATGTATATGGATTTTCAAGTTTTTTGTTCGACGACTGGTTCAGTTACGCACATGTCACATTGAGATTTGAGAAGGCCAACATTGTTTTAGACATTTTAATTTCCATCGAATTAGTCATCCAGTATTTATGTTTATTCGGCGTATACCTATAAAAATTAATTGATAAACTAAAATGGATACAAAACAAGCAAGAAACACAAATTGGAGAATCTTATTGAAAAAGTACTTACATTCCACCACATTGTTTGTCCTTTCTGACATGTCACGGTCCCACACATTCCACATCAACAATGACTGCCTAGCTGCAGGGAGCATCTGGGGTGGACCACGGATGTAGTTGTGGTCCACGTACGTAAGCCAATCATGCAGCCTGGGATACATCCTGACAAGACCTCTTGTCTCCTGAGATTCCAAAAGCAATAGAAAGTTGTTCCTAACAATATTTACTGGTAAAAACCCGATAGCCATCACTTTCCTAACATGAAATCTGAGTTCGTCATTCTCTCTGTAAGCGGTTTTCAGGTTGCAAGCTTGAAGTCACTGCCACAAACTCTGACAGAAGTGGAAGTAGCACGCTCTAACTTGCGTGTTAAACTCAGCTTCCACTGCAATTTTGAGAGCTGGCTCAAAGTCGACGAGAACAAGATCTTGGTCATTTATGTTCTGACCAAGATCACGGGCGTACTTTCTTTTAATGTGTCGGAACACCGCTCTGTACGTGGCAACACGCCTGTCGGACATAAGGACCTTTACGAACGTAACAACCCTGTCAAGGTAGAACCCATGAATGGTCAGGAATTGTACGTAGGGCTCTGGAACTGTTCTAAAGGTTGAATTGTGCAACACATCACCGATCCAATTTCTCGTTATGCTATTGGTAGTATTTTCATTTATAATGTATTATAAGTGGCATTATCTCTAATATTTGCACTTTATTTCATATGAAATCGAGCAACTAAACTTGTATTTGTATAATTAATTCTCAAGCAACTAAACTTGTTACGTGTAAAACAAGCAACTAAGCTTGGCAAATACTATACTACCTATGGTAAAAACCAAACAATTAAACTTGACGTTATTCAATACTTAATGGTCAAGCAACTTAACTTGACATGTGGATCCCTTTATTGATCAAGCAACTAAACTTGACGTTTTTTATTTAATAATTACTGATCAAGCAACCTAAACTCGACATGTGACTCTCGTTAACGACCAAGCAACTAAACTTGACGTTTTATACATAATTAATGATCAAGCAACTAAACTTGACATGTGATTCTCGTTAACGACCAAGCAACTAAACTTCACGTTCTCATATAATGATCAAGCAACTAAACTTGACATGTGAATCTCGTTAACGACCAAGCAACTAAACTTCACATTTTCATATAATGATCAAGCAACTGAACTTGACATGTGAATCTCGTTAACGACCAAGCAACTAAACTTGACGTTGTTATATAATTTCTGATCAAGCAACTAAACTTGACCTGTGAAACCATTAACGACCAAGCAACTAAACTTGACGTATTTTTTTTAAAAATTCATGATCAAGCAACTAAACTTGACCATGTGAAACTCGTCATCGACCAAGCAACTGAACCTGACGCCCACATCTCATTAATGACGAAGCACCTAAACTTGATATAAATTATTATGATAATGAAGCTATAGTTACGACTCTTAATATAATATCCAAGTCAGACTTGTTTATCTATTAAGCATCTGAATTTGACGTCTAAGCTTTTTATATTAACTTTATTTCCTATTCCACATCTACAAGTATAAAACAACCCCAAACCAGTAACTAAATTAGTTCAAGATTGTTGCTATTTACTTACTTATTAAACCTAGTGCATGCAAGGCCCCAGATTTTAACCCTCTATTTAGATAATGTTCCATCGTCGGATCGTCCAAATGTAACTGGAGATACTGCTCATTTCTGTATTGACTTGGACCTGGACTATTTTGTTGTATACTATTTTTTCCTCCTCATTTTTTATCCATTTTTTCGTTAGTTTACCTTCTTTTTTTTCTTTTTTGAACTGTTATCTCCCTATGTACTTGTTGACCAAGAATAATAATTCCATTTGTTTTTAATTTAGGTTTTATTTCCATGGCTAGTTTTTGAATGTCTGAACTGATTTTTTGCGCAATTTCTTTGCAAGATTTCCCTTTAGTAACATGTGCCTCAAAATAGTCATTTATATCGTTCCCACCAAATTGTAAATATACTGTGGAATAATAATCAGGCCGTTTAGCCTCCAAATATTGGTGCATTCCACCGACTTTTTTACCTTTCTTTCCTATGAATTCATATTCTAATCCCTTTCCTGTTACTTCTAGTGTCATTGGGTAACGAAAAACGTAGTTTTGAGCACACGATACGAATGAATCGCCAAATGCTAGGCATTTACTTGCCATTCTTAGTCAATCACAATGTCAATGTTCCACGATTTTTGATTTTAGTTACTTTTATTTCGTAAATCTGTTAAAATTGTCTATCTTACTTTAATATATTTTATGATTTAATGATTCACTAAATTTTTTCCTATAATCCTACAAATCAAAATGTTTCTACATACCTTCAAAAGCTCTAAATTGGTTGGAAAATAGGCTTACAAAATCTTGGTCATATTTTACCGGAAAGCGCACATGGAACATACCCGGATGTAGATCTACTTCCCGGAACTTGATTTACTACGCCGAAAACTGTACCTGTTAAAAGTCTGCAACCTTGACCTGCAATTAAAGACCAGACACAGCAAATGAGGTATTCTACATTTATTTACTTTCATACAACACAACTAACTTCTTCGAACGTAACAACCCTGTCAAGGTAGAACCCATGAATGGTCAGGAATTGTACGTAGGGCTCTGGAACTGTTCTAAAGGTTGAATTGTGCAACACATCACCGATCCAATTTCTCGTTATGCTATTGGTAGTATTTTCATTTATAATGTATTATAAGTGGCATTATCTCTAATATTTGCACTTTATTTCATATGAAATCGAGCAACTAAACTTGTATTTGTATAATTAATTCTCAAGCAACTAAACTTGTTACGTGTAAAACAAGCAACTAAGCTTGGCAAATACTATACTACCTATGGTAAAAACCAAACAATTAAACTTGACGTTATTCAATACTTAATGGTCAAGCAACTTAACTTGACATGTGGATCCCTTTATTGATCAAGCAACTAAACTTGACGTTTTTTATTTAATAATTACTGATCAAGCAACCTAAACTCGACATGTGACTCTCGTTAACGACCAAGCAACTAAACTTGACGTTTTATACATAATTAATGATCAAGCAACTAAACTTGACATGTGATTCTCGTTAACGACCAAGCAACTAAACTTCACGTTCTCATATAATGATCAAGCAACTAAACTTGACATGTGAATCTCGTTAACGACCAAGCAACTAAACTTCACATTTTCATATAATGATCAAGCAACTGAACTTGACATGTGAATCTCGTTAACGACCAAGCAACTAAACTTGACGTTGTTATATAATTTCTGATCAAGCAACTAAACTTGACCTGTGAAACCATTAACGACCAAGCAACTAAACTTGACGTATTTTTTTAAAAAATTCATGATCAAGCAACTAAACTTGACCATGTGAAACTCGTCATCGACCAAGCAACTGAACCTGACGCCCACATCTCATTAATGACGAAGCACCTAAACTTGATATAAATTATTATGATAATGAAGCTATAGTTACGACTCTTAATATAATATCCAAGTCAGACTTGTTTATCTATTAAGCATCTGAATTTGACGTCTAAGCTTTTTATATTAACTTTATTTCCTATTCCACATCTACAAGTATAAAACAACCCCAAACCAGTAACTAAATTAGTTCAAGATTGTTGCTATTTACTTACTTATTAAACCTAGTGCATGCAAGGCCCCAGATTTTAACCCTCTATTTAGATAATGTTCCATCGTCGGATCGTCCAAATGTAACTGGAGATACTGCTCATTTCTGTATTGACTTGGACCTGGACTATTTTGTTGTATACTATTTTTTCCTCCTCATTTTTTATCCATTTTTTCGTTAGTTTACCTTCTTTTTTTTCTTTTTTGAACTGTTATCTCCCTATGTACTTGTTGACCAAGAATAATAATTCCATTTGTTTTTAATTTAGGTTTTATTTCCATGGCTAGTTTTTGAATGTCTGAACTGATTTTTTGCGCAATTTCTTTGCAAGATTTCCCTTTAGTAAAATGTGCCTCAAAATAGTCATTTATATCGTTCCCACCAAATTGTAAATATACTGTGGAATAATAATCAGGCCGTTTAGCCTCCAAATATTGGTGCATTCCACCGACTTTTTTACCTTTCTTTCCTATGAATTCATATTCTAATCCCTTTCCTGTTACTTCTAGTGTCATTGGGTAACGAAAAACGTAGTTTTGAGCACACGATACGAATGAATCGCCAAATGCTAGGCATTTACTTGCCATTCTTAATCAATCACAATGTCAATGTTCCACGATTTTTGATTTTAGTTACTTTTATTTCGTAAATCTGTTAAAATTGTCTATCTTACTTTAATATATTTTATGATTTAATGATTCACTAAATTTTTTCCTATAATCCTACAAATCAAAATGTTTCTACATACCTTCAAAAGCTCTAAATTGGTTGGAAAATAGGCTTACAAAATCTTGGTCATATTTTACCGGAAAGCGCACATGGAACATACCCGGATGTAGATCTACTTCCCGGAACTTGATTTACTACGCCGAAAACTGTACCTGTTAAAAGTCTGCAACATTGACCTGCAATTAAAGACCAGACACAGCAAATGAGGTATTCTACATTTATTTACTTTCATACAACACAACTAACATTCTTCGAACAACTCTTCAAGGCCATATAAAGTATTTATTCCATAAAATATCTTTTAGTTAATTTGCCAATCTATGCTCTTTGAAGAAGAATTATATGATAATTTGGAGGTAAAACCCTCTCGCCGAGAGCGATATGGTGTTTTAAAATCTTTTGAACCATGGGGTCATCATTGTTAGTTAAAATAGTATCACTATACTGAGCTGGTGTCACAAGTGAGTCGTTTGCATCCTGCTGTGGGCTTGTCTGGATGGTAACACTACCTCTTCGATCGGAATTTGTTCTTCTGTGTGTTGATTCACGTATGTTGTTGTAATTGTTTGTGATTGTCAAGTGTTCTTTTACATTTCCTGCACACTGCTTGTTGGTTATTGTCAAAGTGGGAGCGTAAATGTCTGGAGTAAATGCTCCGCCTGCCATACAATTTGCAACATATTTGATTGGGTGTGTAATATCAATATAAAAATAATTATTCTTCAAAAAAGTGTGTCCCAGGAGATTGAGCCCATATGGGAGCGACACTGACCAATGAACAGGTTTTTAGAAGAGGGCTAGATTTGCGTCTATTCCCCTGGCCTGGAAGGGAACAAGTCAAGAGAGTGATAACCTAGTACACCTAGTACTGAAGAAAACTTCAATGTCATTGGTCCGAAGGGGAATATACCGCTCAGTAGAAGTTGTTGTGGGTTACAAGTGTAACTTGGGGTTATAAAAACGATTGCCAAAGAGTACTAGTGCCCAAATCGCGCATGCTAAAAGATTTAAACATGCAAGAGAGCCCCAAGTAAGGATATTGTTTAGTTAAAAAGTATTTTAATTTTTGAAGTTATCAATACTGTCTCTCGGGACAGGTCGTCGCTGTTAACGGAAACAACAATGAATCGGGATTAGTTCACGAAAGCAATTTTTATCCTGTTTAAATTATTGTTTGAATATCTTTACTTTTGACTTTTTCGACAGTCTGTGACGCTTAAGTGATATTCATTGTATTCTTGGCGGCTTTAATGCAACATTCGTTAGGTCTTATGTAACGTCTGAATGAGTCCCAACGACCATCTGCCTAGAGTCATGATTAATATGTCGCTCAGATGTACCTCCAATTCAGATGTAATTCGCAACCAGTGAAAATAGATTATCCATTTCTAATTGGGTTAATGATGGATCCCCAAAAAGAAAAAAGTGAATTTTGTCTTGCTGAGTTCTGAAATTAGTTAATAAGTCCCCATATATCCCTAAAGTATCTGTTATTAGTTTATTTCTTTGTTGTTCTTTCAGAGGGCATTTGAAAAAGAAGTGGGGAAAAGTTTCAGGGGAACCACATAAACAATTTGATGACTCAACTGAGCTCCAATTGTGGGCTTTGAGCTGGGCTTTTAAAATTAAATCTACCCTGGCTCTATTCAGATAAAGTTCTTGTTGACGAGTTAATTTTAAACAAATTGTTGAAACAACACCAGGGAACAAATTTAATTTAAGTGTTCTTTTAAAAGATGCAATAGTTGGCAAGAGCTTTTGTTCCAAGGGGACAGATCCTGGATCATTCCATAGGTTCATCATTTTGTATATTGGAGACTTATGTGGATAGTGAATAGGGATAGTGAAATCTCGAGATTTCCTTAACAATCTTGCTTGAGGGTTTATGAATGGCCTAAATATATCTGAGATATAAATAGGTGTTAAATCGTTCACGGCTTTGTACATAATTGTTTTAAAGTGGAGGATCCTCCTCTCAGTTAAGGTGGACCAGTTCAAAATGTTAAGTACTTTGGAAGTGCTGGAGCCTGGGAGAGCACCAGAGACTATTAGACCAGCTTGGTACTGGAGACTGTCAAGTCTGTTAAGGTCACAAATAGGAGCACAATCGTAAAGGATATCACAATAATCAAATAAGGACTGAATATAAGCTGTATAGAGAATATTTAATTGTTTTGATTTTAGTCTACCCTTAAGTGCTTTTAAGGGGTTAAGAGCTGTTTGGATTTTTGCACAGATAGAATTTATATGTGCTGACCCACTTAATTTTTTATCAAAAATGAAGCCTAGGTGTTTATGAATGTCAGTTTTTTCAATTTGTTTATCATTTAAGATAACTGGTGGATAGATTGGATTATTTTTCTTAGAAAAGGTCATTTCTCTGCTCTTTTCTGGTTTAAAATCTAGTTTCCACTGTTTAGACCAGGCTTCGATTTTTTTTTAGATCATTTTGAATTTGTATATGAGACTGCGGATTGTTTGGGGAAGTAGGTACAAAGAGGGAGGTGTCGTCTGCATAAATAAAGCACTCTGAGGTCAGGTTGTCCGGTAAGTCGTTTATATAGAGGAGAAACATCAAAGGTCCGAGAATACTTCCCTGAGGCACAGAACAGTTTATGTAGTTGCTAGGAGAGGTGTCAGAACATTTGCCATTCACAGTTACTTTGACACTCCTATCAGTCAAATAAGATTTTAGAAAAACTAATAAGTTTCCTGAAAATCCATACGCTTTCAACTTTTTTAGAAGAAGGTAATGGGGGACACGGTCAAACGCGGCCGAAATATCCCAAAAAATTGCACGTGTATCATTGCCGTCGCTAAAATTGCGCCAAATTAGGTTTTGGATGGCTAACAGTTGTAACTCATTGCTGTGCCCTTTCAAAAAACCGGACTGGTATTTATACAATAAGTTATTTTCAATTAAGTGTTCGTACATCTTAGAGTAGACAATTCGTTCTAATATTTTGGAAGTAATACTGAGAAGAGATATAGGTCTATAATTTCTTATGTCATTCTTATTATTCTTTTTAAATATTGGGCAGATATCCCCTAATTTCCAGTTCTGGGGAAAATTACCTGTGGTCAGAATTTTATGAAAAAGTAAATTAAGTGGCACAGAAATAGTATTCCTGCATAGCTGGAGCATTTTTATTGTAACGCCATCTGAACCATTTGCTTTTGAGGGGTCAAGATCGTTAATTATAGAGATAATTTCCTGTTGGTCAAAGTTAATGTTCTCTAATTTGTTATTGCATCTGTCAGGAAAATGAATATTATTGTTCAATGCATCTGGTTCTAAGTGATACATATTAGAGAAATATTTTTGAAATTCAGTAGCTTTCTCCTGACTGGTCAAACAGGTAATTCCAGTTAAAGGGTTTTCTATGGTAGGAATAGGCGAGCTAAATTTTTTACCTAAAAACTTTTTTATAAGTTGCCAAAATTTGTCACTTGCATGTGTTTCTCCATTTAGACTTTCTATTTGATCTGATGTAAATTTTGCTTTGGTTTCTAAAATAAGGTTCTTGACAGCTTCAGTCTGATTCTTATATGCTGTATAATGTTCAGGAAGATTGCTTTTCTTGAATTTAACATAGAGTTTTTTCTTTTTCTGAATCGCATGAGATATACTCTCATTGAACCTCCAATAACCTCATTGTACCTCCAATGACATGGTAGCTGCCCCGATCCGGAACGAGTGACCACTGTAGTCATGAGCCTTTAGGCCAATGTTATACAAATCAGATTTGAGTTGTTTGGTAAATAAGTTCTTTTTCAATGATTGTCTATCACACCTGAGAAATACTGCTTCTGATGCGGATCGGCCATGCAATGAGTCCCTTTGAAGTAGATAAAATGCAAAATGTAAATGCTGACGTGTTCGCATAAATATTTTTATCCCATACTTGGACGTGTTATAGGTACATAAAGCCGGTTTGTAAAAACTTATATTTTCATCAGCGGGCAGATATAGCTTTACGTCCCGCTTAGAGCGGGCAGATATAGTATATCTGCCCGCTACGTCATAATCGCCGCTCGCATATTTGTTCATAATTTGCAACGTTCGCGTAATGACTTTTAAAGACAATGGAGAAAACATAGACAATCGGGATCTGTTTGATGGTTTAAAAAAAGGGAAGGAGTATCCACTTAATCAATCAAAAATTCGAGAAAATAAATCTGGGAATATTTGAGAGAACAGGAAAATCCGCCGACGGCCAAGAAAACAAAACTGGACATGAATATTCTAAAATATTTCCACGATTGAACAATGTGAACCAGATGACCAAGATTGGTATGGGATAAACATATTATCCTATAGTCGGTTCGGGATATTGGGATTATCCCTTGGCCAATATAATATATTTTCCCTCGGGACCTGCGGCCCTCGGGCAAATATATTATATTGGCCTCGTGATAATCCCAATATCCTGAACCTCATATAGGATAATCTCTATATATCCACACCTTTATTGTAACGATCAGCTTTAGACGATTTCAGATGTAGACTTATTTTGTCATCATGTGTGGTCAGATCTCCAAACGTTAAGTGCTTTGCAGGGTTGAATATATCGTTACATAACATCGTAAGAAATCATATAAAGCTAGCGTGTATTGCATTTGCGTAAAGCACTTTCATACGCATTTTTTTTTTTGGAATCTAAGTACTGGCATAATTTCACTAGAATGTCTTACGTTATTGGCAAGCATTTCTTCATTGCAGTATTATCTTGAAGCTTTTTAATTGTATTCAAGATTGACTGGAGGCACAGAAGAAGTAAACCCTCTGATATATGGAATGAATTAGCAATACCCGATTTCATGTAGAAAAAATTAATTCCCAATAAATAAAGTCTTATAGTCGAATATTTTTTAAATGTAAGTTTGACACGAATCGAAGCAAAATTTCCTCTGAGATTGGCGATGTGTCGAGTTTAGGCCAACCTACACTGTGAGATTGTAGGAAATCGGTAAACAAATTAAATCCTTGCTGATTCACTGTTTTTGTACAGCTGTTAATAGAACAATCCCACAATTGATCATGATGGGAATTTACTGCCATATCACTGCCAAGGGATTTGGGCAAGGCAGTGGCTCCTCCTTGGGCAAGGGAACTAGCTGATGGAACTTCTCTATCTGAAATCGAGACAAAGCATCAGTGACGTTATTGTTATATATTAAGTTTTGCACTGCTGCCTTTTTACAGTAAATACAGGGTGGTCCATAAGTTCCAGGAATGAGTCTGGCATTTCAACATTTATTACTCTTTTTTCCATGAAAATTCACCAAAAGGTGTCCAAATGTGTCCCCTATGATTTGTTAAAATCTGAGGTATATTGGATAAAAATTGTTGTATCTGTGGTTGCCATAGTAACGGCATGTGTGCTTCAGCGGGGCACGGCAGCATCGTCACAATTAAGTGAAAACATCATTTTAATCATTTTCCTGGCTCCTTCGGTATGATAACTCAGTCTTCATTTTCAAAATAGTTACCCCCATGCCGGATGCATTCCTTGTGTCGTCTGACCCATTCAGATTCAAATATTTTCCTAAATCCACCCTCGGACATCCTTTTGATCTCAATATTAGCCGCTCTAATGACTTCATCGTCATTGTCAAAACATCGTCCTTTCAGTCCTCTCTTCATGTGTCCAAAGAAATAAAAATCACAAGGGGCAAGATCCGGGGAATAAGGGGCATGTGGGAGCAGTTCAAAGCCTAAGTCCTGTAAAGCCTGAATGACCCCTGCCGACCTGTGAGATGGTGCATTGTCATGATGATACACAAATGCTTGTCCTGGCCTCTTCTTACTCAGCGCCCGGGCTAAATGTCTACGAATCACCTGGAATGACAGAATAAATTCTCATCAGAACCAGAGATCTTGATTTTTAGCAAACAAATTGAGCTCAGGTACTCTCCATCAAAACATACTAGTAACTATCATTATGAAATACAGTTGAAACTAGCTTCAATTTTGCATTAATAAATTAGTTTGAGTCTTTGAATGAAACTTACCTTCTCATAGTACTTTCCTGTCACAGTCCAGCCATTTGGTACTGCATGTGTCAGTATCACACCATGTGCGTCGAAAAAAACCATCAACATCACCTTTCCAGCAGATCGAATTCTTCTTGACGCTGATGGCCTAGGGGAGTTGCTGTGATGGTATTCAGATGCTTGGTCTCTTGAAGCAGGATCATAATGATGAGCCCAAGTCTCATCCATAGTGATGATGTTGTCTGTAAAGTCAGAACCCTCAGCTTCAAACCTTCTAATGAACTCTGTAGAAACTTCAACACGTCTGTCTTTCTGTGCTTGAGTGAGCGATCGTGGCACCCATTTTGCCTTTACTCTGCGCATTTTTAGGTCATTTTTGATAATCCTGCCTATGGTTGTTTTACTTATATTAAGTTTTCCTTCAAGATCTCTTGTGGAAATCCGTCTATCACGGAAAATTTCTTCTTCAATCCTATCCTTATTTGTCTGTGTCCTATCTCTTAAAGGACGGCCACACCTAGGGTCATCTTCTGGTGAGATCCTCCCTGAGGAGAAACGTTTGTGCCAGTGGTAGATCCTACCTGTTGACATAGCACCATCTCCATATGTATTCCTGAGGAACTTTATAGTTTCAGGAGCTGTCATTCCATTTCTTACACAGTCTTGGATAGATGTCCTTTGTCTTATTCTTGAATATTCTTTCCCTGATGACATTCTTTTGGTTTACAAGATGGCTGATTTCCAAAAATGGCGGGGCTTTGTTGGCAAATGACAATTATGACATCACACAAGACAGTGACCTGAACCCACAATATAACCCCATTGACAGTTGTGATGTCATCAATGATGTCATTAGTCATTGTTATGGATATATTTTGATTATCAACATAACAAGTAGGTTGCTGGGAGTGAAGTGTGTGGTTTTTGCAAGAAGTGGTGTCACATCAAAAAAATAAAAAATGCAACATTAAAATAGTGCCCCGCATACCACGTGGTCACGTTACCATGGTAACCAGTTTAACAGCAGTTATGCATGGATCACCATGAATTTTTGCAAGATGGTCAGCAGATAGTTTGGACACATTCTGGCCAAATATCAAGCACATTATCCAAATATTAATGAAATGCCAGACTCATTCCTGGAACTAATGGACCACCCTGTACAATGTAAAAATAAATTTGAGCCAGAAATAAATGATTTATGTGAGTATTGAATAATCTCCAAAATCTTGCTAGGCCTAGGGGCCAGAATACTACACCTCCCCCCTCTTTTAAAACTACCCCACTAAATCCCATAATTTAATGTCATATGTGTCCACAGTGTAGGTATAGGAGTGCGTCACATCCGTTCTGTCCACCTGTACCTTCCTAACAGTCGGGTGGTCCGTTTGTCAATTGGGCTATTCGTTCATGTGTTGGCTTGTCTGTCCTCTGTTCCACTGGTACTTTTTTGGGCAAAATAAAGACTTACATTTAAATTCCATAGTATGTCCAATGTATTGATAAGAACCTTATCTTTCATCTTTTTGATCTGTCAAGCTTTATATATATTAAGTCTTTATCAATGTCATTGAAAGATGGCAAATTTTTTGTATTATATGATACATTCATTTTTATAGAAGTGTCGCCATATTTTAAATCAATGGTAATTTAAAACATGCACTTTGTTTAACACACTATGTTTAACATGTGCATGAATGTCTAATGATCCCTGAAATCTTTTCTATGTGAGTTATTTTTTCTTGGTTCAATATTAAAGCAAATCAAACTTTGTGTCATATTTGAGGAAGTCAGTTAGTAACATGTTCCAATGATTATTTTTTCCTTTTTTCTTCTAAAAAAGTATAGTGTGCCTTTAATGTTCTTCTCTGTCCGCAAGCTTTTCTTCGAACCAGATAGTAGATGATCTTTAACCATTTCCTCATATTTACAATACTAAAAATATATTCTTGGAGCAGATATAACATTTTGCCGAAACACTCTTTGAGTCCATGTATGTCTGTAATGGTGTCCTCTTATTTTTTCTTGACCGTATTTAAATCTTATGTTAATCCTACACACACTCTACATCAGCCATACTAACCTTATCTGACATTTTGCTGTGTCTCATGATGTGTTATGCCAATTGGCCCATTCTGTCATACATTGCTATAGTGAGTTGTTGTGATGTTATAGTGAGCACAAATAAACATTAGTTTAATAACAATTTTTTAGAAAAAATCTTTGATTTTCACATGCTTTAAAATAAGAGGTTATTATGATATTCTACGGGTTATTAATTAATTGACCTGTCTATCCTAATTACAGGTTACCATGACATTTATGTCATAGGCAAATCCCACATGTGTCACATCTTGTTTGCCTTTCTTTGCTCTCTTTTTTGAAGCTCTTTAATTCTACATCCCCTGCTTTTCTTTTGGCTGTTTCTCTACCTGTCTCTGTTACATCTATGAGAATCTCACTACTGTTAAACATGTTAAATTCGCGAGCATCTTAGATTTTTGTATTTTTGCGTCAGTGTAAAATCGGGAATTCAAGATCCTGTGAATTTAAATCCCGCGATTTTAAAATTGTACAAAACAAATTCGTGGAACAAATGATGAACAAAATATATAAGTTTTCAGTGTTCAGAAATAAAACATGTTATGAAAAGTGTTAAAAAGACACATTAAAATTGAAGTTAAAATACTGTTCTAAAATATGTTCACACTCAAGTTAAAATACTGTACTAAAAAATGCCCAAGTTGAAGTTAAAAACTGAACTTAGAAAATGTCCACGTTGAAGTTAAAATACTGTACTAAGAAAATGTCCATGTTGAAGTTAAAATACTGTACTAAGACAATGTCCACATTGAAGTTATAATACTGTACTAAGAAAATGTCCACGTTGAAGTTAAAATACTGTACTAAGAAAATGTCCACATTGAAGTTAAAAACTGTACTAAGAAAATGTCCACGTTGAAGTTAAAATACTGTACTAAGAAAATGTCCACGTTACAGTTAAAAACTGAACTAAGAAAATGTCCACGTTGAGGTTAAAATACTGTACTAAGAAAATGTCCACGTTGAAGTTAAAATACTGTACTAACACTATATAAAATAGAGAATATTGCTTGGTTATAAGAAGTGCCTATTTGTAAGAATCTCTTGTAATCAGCAGTAATCAGCAAAAATACTCAGCACATATAAACAGAGACATTACAGAGACAATACTCGCTGCATATATGGAACACTCTGTATATTCAGGTATTGCTCCTCTTTATTTGTAGAACAGCACAAATAAGCACTGATTATATGTGAAGTTAAGAATACTCAAATATATGCAAACGCAATACTTTGTAAGTGTGTAATATAGTCACACATTATAATTGCTTCTTTCTGACTATATTAAGCTATTTCTAAGTTACACTGGTCATTTTATAACTGAGCATACAAATAAAAAACAGACTATTTGTGCGTATTTTTCTTTTAAGCATGATAAAACAATACAACAAAAGAATGTACCGGAAGTACCGTCCGTAGTTCTTAATGAATATGACTTTACATGTGTATATTAAGCGGGATAATAAGCAACTAGATGGATTTTGAAATAATCTATTTTTACTATAATTATGATTTTGGACACCTTTACAGTCGCGCCAGGAAAGAGAGATCTTCCTTGTAGTTATCAAAAGTTGCTAATAAAAATAGCTTGTGCAAACACGTGTTTTGTATGGATATCGCCCCCCCCCCCCCCCCCCCCCCCCCCCCCCCCGACGGAAAGCTGGCTGCACCGCTGAACTTGTTATCTCTACTTTAAGAGTCAATGCAACCCGATTCTTCCTGATAAGGTATTATTATTTAACACTGACAACCTGTTAACACCGTTTGTATTAAATCTTGGATTATGCATGGGAATTCAATTTTTTACTTTTTCAAATCGCCGCTTTGATTGTTTCCAATTCCTCATGATCAAAGCAAATGGAAGTCTAGACTCTTTTGGTCATGTTTTCGATTTCAATTATAATCCACACATCAATTCAGAATCATAAAATATAAATCACTGGAGCAACGTCCAACAGCTTTTAATCCGCTTAATAAGTTATCAAAACACATTCTTGCCTTTAAATTAAAGCCAATGTTAAATTCGGTATTTAAAAAAAATATAACAGGTAATGGAATCGAAAGAAGATTTCATACTGTTTATGTTTCGATCAGTGTTGATATGAGTTTTCTATTCCCGATGCTTGGTCATAGTTTGCCCGGATAGTTTGTTTATAATAAATTGATTTAAGTTTAAATAGAAAATAAAGATAGTATTCTTATTTGAATTTTATAAACTGGGTATCAAAAAGCCGGCTTTTTAACTTAAGTTTGAAACTGGCTTTTTTATCCTGCTTTTTCAGAACTATAGATTGTAAATGCGGTTGCCTTCGTGTACTTTTCTATGTTTTGGTGCAGTTTTTTGAATCAAAATATCATTTTTTGATAATATGAGAAGGAAGAGACAAAACCCGAGAATCAACAGTTATACAGGCTACATTCCGCCTCATTATCTATGCCATGATCATTATAACATAATTCCCATACCTGTTTACGGCTGAGTGTAGGTTCACATGGGCGTAGCCAAGGCGGGGGGGGGGGGGTGACATGTGCGCTTGCATTCCCCACCCTCTCAAAAAGAAAAATCAATTTTGCAAAATATGAAAAAACATTGACATTGACATCCAGAAATTCCGGGGGTAAACGCCGTTCCGGGCCTCGCTTCGTTCGCATTGATGCAAACCAAAGAAATCTCACCCCCTGAACAATTGCTGACTCTCCCCCTGGTTCAAATAGTGATTATAAGGTTAGCCATTTTGTGAAATCAAATGAGATAACCTTGACACTAAAATCTATATTCTACTTGATCTTTGCATGAAATATCAATTGCGTTTAATATGAACTTTTTTGAA